CAAAATCTGCTCGAGTCACTCGGTTATACTCGGAAACCACGTGATGGCCTGCCGATGACGACATTTCCGCATTTGAATGATTTTACAACATTGAATGTAGCCTTACTGTGAAGGCTGACCCAAATACGGTGTTTTTCTACAGATAACCTTACCACTGCACTGGTAAGGTAAAACTAGGCCGATTAATAAAATGTGAATTGCTTAGTAACTTTGACCCGCTTGAATGAATACACAAAAAATATGAAGAAAGAGTTATCTCTGGGCTGCTCATGGGGCTGCTTCGCTGCCAGCAGTAGGCCCCCGGGACCCGAAAGTGGCGTAGCCTAAGTACTTCAACATCAATGCATACAAATGTATCTGTATCACTATAACATGATGGTGATAAAGAATGCACCTAACGTACCGCTGTTCATTATAGTAATACATAAACGGCGCAATAACCTGAGTGTTGAAAAAAAAGAAGCCATTGTGACATTGAATCTCTTTCTTTCTTTGGGCTGCTTTTGTACACATGATGGAAGCACAGAGAGTGCAGGATAATGCAGTTATAAATGAGTAACTTGGCACAACTCCATAACCTTAGTGGTTGTCTCTTTAGGGCGGGACAGGACATTTACCGCACTCTGGCATAAGTCTCTTCTTCATCTGCGGCAATCCAGGCTATGTCTGCCAAGGTAGGAACCATCGGGCCTTGAATAGGCCGAAGAGGCGGCAGACCCGGGAGTTCCTAAAGCACAAGGACATAAGCTAATGTTATATATTAAAACATTTATATTGCAATGAATAGAGGACCATACATACTATAGAGATATATAATTACATACAGAGTGAAAGGATCATATATTTACCTGGAAACATGCCCTTTGTGGAGGCCTGAGTGGAAGAGTGGAGCCTATTTTTCTCACAAAACTGCGGGCGGATCCATGAGGCTTATTCTGCCAGATAGGAATAACTTCCTGTAGAGGATATCGTAGAAAAACCCTGTTATTATACTTGTCTCACTTGTTTGCATCTGTGCACAGTGATGAAAGAGAAATGCAGTGTTAAGTTCAATGGCGTTTAATAAAGAAATAAGCAAGGATGTAAACTTACTGTGTCTGTTTCCATGGTGATGGTGGTTGCACACCAATGGTTTGTGCTCGCAGTGGCTAAAGACAGAGCCGTTTAGTGGACAGATGCCATGTCAGTGTAGCCACCAACTCTTGGAATATAAATGAGGGAATACTTCTGTTAAGAGACAAGCGGAAGAACAACACTGCATTAATACACCCACCAACACAAAGATAAAGTTATATAATTGTTGTGATTGATTGTCTGGACAAGAAACGTTTCCATAGCCTTTAGTCAAATGAATGATTCGGGCACAGTTCAGACTTTTTTGTATATCATTTCAGAATCAGAATCAGAATACCTTTATTAGTCCCACAGAGGGGAAATTTGCATTTTAAATCTGTATTATTGGGTGATTATTGAAATACTTTTTGGCACAACTAACAATGTATAATACAATACATATTTTTTAAAGGGTAGTTTTGCTGGTATCATTAGGTTTAAAGCAGGAATAGGGTAGGGTATTCATACTAGAAAATACATATGTAACGTTAAGCTACACAACAGGCAAACAAGACCAAATAAAAAAAGAATGGCAAACATTTATCTTTAAAAAGGTCAGATCTCAGCTGGGGAAAATTGTAAATATCCAAACAGTATGATAAACACTGAACTGTTTTATTATAGTGTAGATTGTCCCCGTTCAGGCACTGTTCTCTTCAAATGGAAATAAATATTGAACTGTCAAAACATTTAAATAAAAACCGGTTTTTATTATGGTATAATTACGTACGAATCCTCCGCAATTGTCACAAATAAATTAATTATATATAAACGCTTATTGAAGGGTTTGGCGGTAAAAGGCTAGATAATGCTTGTACGACTTAATAATATTACTGTGATGACATCAACACAAGAAGGAGCAGAGTTACTATCATCAGTGCTAATATAGCTAGCCGTTAGCTAACTAACAGCTGACATTTTAGACAGCTAGGCTAGGTTTGCTACACAGTGTTGATTATGTAGTTACAGTTTGCGATATCTACCGTCACCGTTTATGAAACACGGTGGAAGACAGAAATATTATTTTAGAGTGATTTGTAAAGCTTGGTTCGGTTCATAATTGGCCAGTAGCTACGGGGAGCAAAACCTATACATCCATGAGCAAAACACACAGTGACCGTCAGTTAGCTTTAGCATCTCCAATAACGGCCCCCTGGTTGACCCTCAACGGTAGAGTAACACCGCCATATTTCACTATTTATCTTTTCCTTACAAAATGCAATTAAAAGAGCAAGTGCAAAACTCACGGTAGATGATGACTGTACCTCGGAAAGCGGCGCCGTTGAATTATTTACGAGCAGCAGCTTCTCCTCTTCGTCTTTCAGACCTGAGTTGTTTTCGCGTATTAGGCCGGAAACCTGTGCCTCCCTTTCCTGTAATTTGATTGGCTTGAGCACCGGGAGCTTCCTTATACAAGAGCGCCCTCTTGGGGTGGAGGCAAGCAGTGCAGAGTACAGGGTGCTACCTCAGACATCATGATAAACTTAATCAGTGAATCAATATTCTCTGATTCCGGCATAATCATTAATGAAAATAATTGGTATATGCAGCTTTAATATATAATGGGAAAATGTACAAGTGTGATCCTCTTGCTATGTTTTTTGATGCTAATCCTCAGGGAAAATTAGCCTGTGAAATGCTTCAGAAAATATGGAAACTCTAAAGAAATGTTGGGTTCTGCATGCAGATGAATAACTTTAAATCACCAAGTGCTATATAAAATGTACAATTGTTTGCAGATAAAATGGGACAAGACAAACATTTAAACAATTACACAGAAAAAACGAGACGGACTTGATACTTAAGGAGATCTGTATCTGTCTGAAAACACAAGATGAATCAGTCCCTTTACTACTTTAGCAGCGAATGCGAAATTCGCTGCTCTCAGCTAAACTCTCTAAGCTGCTCTCAGCCAGCCGGCGGGAGGATTACTATCTTGACAATCGTCGCGACGGCCTGTAAGCAGTGGGCGGGGCTTGAATAATTAACTAGTCACTGTTGTCTGCAGTGATATCATAACACTGCAATGAGGGCGCGCGCTCACATGACCGCCACCCGTCCCCATCCCTGGAATAGACACAGGTCAGTAAATATACTTTCCACATGATGCTGCCATCTCTTTTGAGCTGCTGCTGTTCTCTACCATAGCAGCAGTCTCGGTCATCCTGTAATGTCGGCTCAAATGCTTACTTCCTCCACAGTGGTTATTGCACGCCTAGCATTTACAGGAAGCAAATTGTGATCATTGTTTTGATCGATGACATGGCCATAGGGATCATATTAGGATGCCTTAAATGATGCAGGACAACTGGTTAATAGTGTTGGTGTGGTTTATTCAGGGATGATAGGCTAATCTCATTGTAATGACTCCCCGAATTAAGTTTCCTATTTGTTGATATTATCATTGCGTTACTCATGCCTGAATGCAGCTTTGCAGAGTAAATACTAAAATACAGAACCTGCATCATATTGATGTTTGTTCATATAATACATTGCATGATTACAGAATGATTAAGATATTGTGGGAGTGCAAACTGTACCCCATCTGACACATTGGAGCATGAAACAGACACATTGGTTGTTTACATACACACTTATATGTATGTATATTGATTCATTTGCATCCTGACTTCATCACTCCGCAAATATCTAGCTCTCTTCCTTATGGTGTCATGTTGGTGCATGTAGAAGTTTAACCGTTGCTTCTCCCTCCCTCTGCCTAGATGTTTGTAAAAATCAGCCCAGATCATATGACGTCCTGTCTTGTGTAGGTGTAACTGGGGCAAATGGTAGGCAAGGGGAATAAAAGGAGGAGGAAGGATGACAGCTGATCCGCTCATCCCTCTGCCACCACTGCCAGCCTCATACTAAAGAAGAAGAAAATGGCTCAGTCTGTAAGGAGGCCTGAGACTCGGGGAGCCATGGACCGCGAGCCCCAGAGGGACAAGACCAGGACCAGCTACTTTGGCAACGTCAAGACCAGGTCAGGCCTGTAAACATGTGGATTACTGGAAGGAGAAGAAAAAAAGGGAAAACACTTAAGTATACATGAGACGTGTTTGGCTGGAATGTGCTTCTTAGATTCAAGCACATTACAATTCTGATCTTCATTATTTGAATAAGAGAGAGAATATTTCCAGATTAACACTAAGCATGTGTCATTTCAGACTACAATGCAAACAGGAATGCTTTGTTAGCAGAGAATCCACATTCCCATAAACTGGTTTCATCCACTGACTGTCACTGAAGGAATCCACGCTCAATCAAAAACCATCATGTGGGTGAGAGCTACGACAGCAACAAGCCATCATGCAGACAACTCCCACTCCCCTTATAAATAACTCTGATCAGACTGTGAACGCTGCCCTATACAGTTATTCACACTACACATACTCTAACCGACTAATCCTTGTAGCCCTGCTGTCAAAGGGAAAATACAACTTGAAATGGAGTTCATTTTTAAGAATAAGCATTCATTCCTAATGAGCAGTTTATGCACGGAAGTAATCTCTCTAATAGTTTATCTAAGCATTTGCATGAAGACTGTGAGATGTGTTTGATATGGATTATGTTGCCTATCAAAATGTGTGCATTTTGATGTTTTTTCTCTGTTTTGATACTAAATATTTTGGGTGTTCACTGTTTGTTAGACAAAACAAGCAATTGCCATTGTGTTAAAAAGTTTTCACCAACAAAAAGACTGTTTTATTTTATAGACCAACCAATAATTGATGAATTGATGTAATACTCAACCGGTTCATCACTAAAATAATGTATAATAAACATCCCCTTGTGATCTTGAACCTGTAGCAAAGACTGTGAAGATGATGTTATTAATGAAGAAATCTTATTTCTCCTTTATAGATAGTGAATAAATGCGTAAATCATACCATATTACTGCCATGGGATTAAAAAAAAATCATATGGGGATTTTAATGGAATGAAATAAATGTTATGGTTCACAACTGTGCTAGAAATACATTATTTGGTCACTAATTCAGTTCGATTTCACTACAAAATATCACCTGATGACCTCATTAACTGAGAGTGCATAAGTAAATGAGTAGAGTTTATATCTTCGTCACAAACAAATCAATACTCACATATGGGACTTTTAAAATATATACTGTCAAACAGAACACCCTTAGTAATGACATGCTCTCATTGTTTTTTAGTATAAATTCCAGCTGTGTGTGTGTAAATGCGTAACCTACCTAAATATAGCTTGATTTTATCAGTTTTTCCTCCGTTTTCTTTCAGGCTGGGTTCCAAGCTTCCTCCTGGCGTCTCTCAGCCTCCACAGTTCGCTAAGCGTCCCTGGGAGAATCAGCCTCAGGCCCGTGTGATGCAGGAGCCTGTGGCCAGCAGCCAGCGTCCGCTCCAGCCCACTGTGGGCCGGCCTCTCAACCACACCCCCCACATCAGAAACCCCAAACTGCGGCAGTACTATTTGCAAGGTGCAGGGTTTGATATGCTAGACAGGGAGCAGGCAGTTTGCATTAAGTAGATGCAAACTGTGGGGTGGGATTTACATTTTAGAATTCTCATGCTGAGTTCGTTGGCATGTTTTTGCATAGTTATTTTCATACAGAGTGGAAAGGCAGACATGTGAACTGTGGTGTATTAAACCTGTAAAGAAATGGTGACAGAATTGTATTTTTCTCTCGCAGGGACTGCATGGGACCTTAACAATACTGCAGTGAAGCAAGAGCATATGAGCGGACCATCAGGTGACAGCACAAGCAGCAGGGTGAGTCACTTGTTTTTTACTTTTTAAACAGAATTTTACTTCTCGTGTGCATTGAGAAACAGAGCTTTTTGGAACAAGTAATAGAAGAAGTTGGGAAGTGAGAGAAAGATATAGGATTTATTGATGCATCTTGTCTCTGATTAGGTATGTTAGAGCCAGCCTTTTGCAGCCGGTGATTGGTTTCACAATTCATGGTGATAAAAGAGTTGGATAAAGAGCGTCCAAGGTTCATATGTGAGTGTGGGAGCAGTCAGAGCTGTTCACGGACGCCATGGGGAAACAAGGTCTTTTTCAGAGCCTCTACAACAAATACAGCCGGAGGAATGAATCTTCGGATGTTTATTCAAGGGTATTTGTGCGCTTGTTGTTTTTATTTTGCTGCTGACATATTAAATATGAAAACAAGTGTTGATTTTGTTCTGTGTAAGTCTCTGTATTATCATGAATCTGGAAAGGGCGTCAGTACTTATTACTAAGTTATCCAGTCTGATTTGCTATGAGAATTTCATGATGGTCTTTTTCTTTTTAAGCTTATTTTGTAGGTTTTGTTGAGATGATTTTATTGAGTTTCTTATATGTTGTGTGCATGTTGAAATTGAGAGCAGAGCAGAGCTTTTTGCTGCACATCCTGCTTTTTTAAAACTATTGAATTGTTTGTTTGTGGTCGAGGAATGCATTTTTTGTAAAGGATCATTAGTACATGTAGAAACACTCACACACACAGTTTATGCCTAGAAAAGCACACACAGAGCTCCAGACACATAAAGACGATTTTTCTGTGGTCACATTATCCGTCATGCGACAGTGATCTAATTTAGGTCAATGGATCCATCTGTCAGTGGATGACAGTTGTGGATCTGATGCTTCACGCCTACTGTTTAAACTCTTCCACTTTTAGATATTGATTCATAAGTTCCCGTCCAAACCTTGGATGGGAGTTGATTTAGAGTGAATACACTGAGTATGATCAGCACAATAAATAGCAGTGGGTTTTTGGATCCATAATTATATGAAAGTAGAAGTTAGAAGAGATCTTCAATGTAATGTGCTTCTGCACACCTGAAAGATGTATTACTGAGGCTACTTATTGCATGAAGATGGATACAAAACCATCTTATGTAAGAATAAACAACTTAATTAGATTGGATGTTTGATCAGATTTTAACCCCTACTGAACACTTTATTGCTTTTGTGTTTCAGGGTCTCCCTGGGGACACGGTGTTCAGCATCTCGTCAGAATTCAACTGTAAAACATCCTCCTCAGCAGAAGAGGGAAAAATGGACAGATCTTCAAATGTACCCTCTTCCTCTGCTACGCTCATCACTAGAGAGGTAAGAGTCAACTGTTGGCCCCTGAAGGTGTCATTTCCATCCCTGCCTATGGATAATATGAACACTTGATGAGTGTGTTGCTTGCTTCCCCATTTTTTTTTTTAATGATGTGGACAATATTTGCAAATCACAATATTTCCCTTGTCTGCCTGACAACTTTAGCTGCAAGTTTGGCTTTAGACAAGAAGTGTGTTGCTCTATTATTAACCCTTTTCAGGCTTAAATACCTCACCAATACTAACCTTTAAGCAAACGGAAAATGCCAATAAAATGCCTACAGCGCTTCACCCACAACCCTCATGTGTTACATGGAGCTTAGATGTGACTACAAACAAAGACAAATAGGGAAATACAGGCCTGTAGAAAGAGGAAGTAGTCACTGGGTTAGCAGGTTGTATCTATTTCAATGACAGAGCTATTCTTATCATGGCTTCCATTCTGAAGCAGCTTGTCGTACCGACGGGAAAAAACACTTCCACCGGTCAAGGATCCTCTCAACCAGAACTGGACTCTGATCCTAAACTGAAGCGGGAGGAAGAGGCTGATCTGGACTCTTTGGAAACACTCGCTGCTCAACCCCAGCCCCCCTCCCCAGAGGCTGAATATGACAAACTACTGGTAGGAAAAAAACAACTTCCTTTACTGCATTTTTTTGGAATATTTTTATAATATTTAATTACACATATTTTACTGTAGTTTAAAATCTGTGTTGGAAAAGCACGAGTACATTTAACTCAAGTACTGTACATTTAAGCTAATAATGATAAGATGGACGGTTCTTTTAAATAACTGAATGACTATGGTTTAATTTAAACCTCATCCTATGGTCCACAAGCTTTCTTTCCTTTTTTGTTACTGTTTTTGTTACTGCAACAATTCTGGTATACATTTGTTACATGCCACAATCAAATAAACAACAGAAAGCTGGTTCAGAAGGTGTGTGCATTAAGTCGCTGAGCTCATGCATGACTCACTTCAACCATATTTCAGAGGAATACATTGTAGTTTTGACTCCGCTGAATTTACTTAACAGCTGCAGTTGCTATTTAATTTTTATTTAATAAAAAGAGAGTCATCAATAGCAGTGGAAACAGATTCACATTTGTAGTTAACAGATTGTATGACATTAATGGGATCATCATGCATTCTTTTCCAGTTATCAGTCAGTCAGTAGCGATGACAAAGAAAAAATGAGCCGAGGAGACTTTATTATGGATCAAATAAAAAAGAACATGTTACCATGGAAACAAGTAACAAAACAAAACACAGTCATGAAAACAATGCAGCGCTGAGCAAAGACTGAATTTGATTCAGAAAATTACAGCAGCGAGCAAGATTGAAACTCTAAAACTTGAAAATGGTATGTTTAGCAATACAATTACAGAATTACAATAAAGTTGAGTTAAGCTCTAGTTTTCTATATTCTTTTAAATTAATTTATAATATGCTTCTTCACAATTTCCCAGGTTAATTTTTTTAACTTGCTTTTTATTTCCGACTAACACTCTACAACTTATATTCAGCCTATTACAATAAAAAGCAAAAAAATAATTGTGAATGTCTAAATTTGTTAATGCTTGATCTGGTAAATATTCACAATTTCATCTTAAAAATGACTGAAACGCTTACTTAATTTCTAAATTGTTGCTGATTAATCATTCTGCCTCCATGAATTGCATTTTGTTGTCAATGCTGATAACATGTGTGATGCTGACAGGATGTGGAGGCGGTGCCGATGCCTGACGGACAGCTCTGCTTATTGGCACTGCCCCCAGAGTGCTGCCAGGCGGAGGGACCGGAGGCCATGAGGTACCTCAAACTGTTCTGCCGCCACATCACAGACCGTAAGGTGGGTGTGAACAACACTTCACTCTGATCTCTGTTCTCTACACCTGTAGACATCTGTGGGCTAACATCAGCACCTTCTCTCTCTGTCAGGGTGTGGTTTCAGGTATCCTGCTGGTGACTGCTAATAAAATCTTCTTTGACCCGTGTAAGACACACGCTCTGGTGAAGGAACACGGCTGTGAGGAATACCTTCTGTCCTGCTCTGTTGACAACCTGGCATCTGTCTCCTTTTTCTCGGACATCTCTCATGTTCACTTCAGTACGTCCCAGCAGAGGTCAGCAATGATTCAGTCGTCCTAAACTACACCCACTGACTCATATTACATTAAAAAGTCAATCAAAGCATTTTTTATTTGTATTTTTTCAATAGGAGAAAAGGAAAGAAAATGTTCCAGAAATTGAAAACCACTAAAATCCCAGCAAGCGGCTTCCCAAACCCAAAGGGGGAGTCTCTGGTGTCTTTGGCTCCATCAGATTTGTCCAGTCTGGCTCTGAGCCTGACCAAAGAGATTTCTGGGGAGGAGGAGGCGGAGAGCAGAGACATGGAGAAGGTGGAGGGGGAGTTTGATAGCAGCCCTCCAGAGTTGCTGTGTGAGTCGTCTGATGGAGGTCTGGGAGTGTCCGTCCTGAGCGGTACTGCCACCTTCTGCTGCGGAGCTCCAGAGGCGGCCAGTAAAGTGAGGACGGGGCTGCTGCTGAACAATGAAACGGGGAAGACCTCTGTGAAGAGTCAGACTGCAGGTGGGACGTGAATCATTGTCTGTCTAAAACAGGGGTGTCCAAACTTTTTTCACAGAGGGCCACATACAGAAAGATATACGAAGGACTGGGACACTCACTAGAGGTGAGGTATATTGCCTCATAAGTTAAGTTATAAGTCAGCAAAATCAATCAAATGTAGGTAAATTATGCTTAATACTTACTTAATAACCTTTAATAAAAACAACAGCCTACATCACAGCTCTCAAAAGGGGTTTTACATTACATTACATGTTAGACGCTTTTATCCAAAGCAACTTACATACTCAATACTGTGGGCAATCCTCACAGGAGCAATTTGGGGTGAAGTGTCTCAGGAACACAACGACATACTGACTGCAGTGGGGTTTGAACCTGTGCTCCCCTGACCCAAACACCAACGCCCTACCCACTGCGCCACACGCCTTTATTTATTTTGTTAGCAGTTCATTCTTTAAAACAGAAGCCTCAGATTGCTAATTGTTAGGGAATAATTTGCTTAGGGATTCAACCTTCGACACAGTTCATCATTTTCTCCTCTCACTGTCTCCTTTCCCATGGCATAGGTCTACGGCCTTGGGTATAGCTGCTATCTCTTTTAAGGAGGGGCAGCTTGGGCACACTGTTGTTGCCAGTCTATGACAGAGCACAAGCCGCCATGAGGTAGTTTACTGTTCAGGGACGAAGGTTCCCTGGCGCGCATTATTTTCTATGGACGAGAGCTCTAGTTAGATTCAGGGTCCATATTTGTTTAGTCTCACTGATAAAGAATGTTGATTATTACACTCTGAACTAGTTAAAACATCGAGCTGCAGAAGGAGTTCTTCAGAATTGGTTTGGCAACCGCTGTGTCAACTCGTGACACACCACCTGTCTTGTCAACTCTCCGGCCGAAACTCCAAATAAACCGTCAGTGTTTGCCATCAAAGCTCCAGCTCTCCTCATGTCTCCTTCATGAGTCGGTAACTCCCACTACATTGCTACATAGAAGTTTCCTCCACACCACCCTCAAGCATTTTTCAGGGTATAGTTGTACCAATGAATGGAGCAAGTTTCGTGAATGTGAGACTTTTATTTTGTAAGATAGCAAGGGGTGCATAACGTGGCAAAAATATGCTGACAAAGACTATGTAACATTTGTAAACATATATTGTGTTTATTTTATGACAAATATGCAAGACAATAAATGGCAAAGATATGTAGAAAATAAACGTATTTGAGATACGTTGATAACGAACGTAACGTGGGAGAAAATAAGTTTCTAGCTAAACGTAATTGAGAATGCAGTTTAGTTCTGTGGGAACGTAAAGAAGTGACGAATGAATGAAAAATCCAGGATTTGACACCACAACCATCAAAATATGGAGCGAAAAGTTTAACCACAAGAATCAAGACTATATGAGCTACCACTAAGCGACTCACAGTCTGTAAATTACCATTAAAAAAACCTGGACGTTTAGTTTTCGTCTTAACGTTTCATTTACAAATGCGCGTTCCCGTGACAAGGGGTGCATTTCATGATGGGGGTGCATAATTTGACACAACACCGGCACCGCTGCCGCTCGGTACAGAACTAATCTGTCCTTCCTCCTCATCCTGGCCTACAGGTTTAAAATAACCTTTAAGCTTTGGCATTTTTTGTAATAGCTGCTTGTCTCGAAACTCCTTTACCCTCAACAATGTCCTTTTCCGAGCGCCACTCTCAAACTTTTTCTTCTCCGACATTTTCTCCTAAACAACCTTCATCTGTCACTCAATCACTCGCAATTTGAATAAGTCAAATGTGAAACATATTCTCATTCTGATTGGCTGTGAAGTGGTGCCCACTGACTGTTATGGAGTCATAATTTTTGAGAAAAATCTCTGGAATCCATCGATCTGATTGGTTAGCGGAGCAAATGATCAAAATAGTGAGGGAAGATATTTTCGTTTGGATTACTGGTCTGGGGGAAGCTCACAAGTGTGTGTGTGTGTGTGTATACGTGTGTGTTTTTGTGTATTTTTGCATTTGTGTGTATTGTGTTTGTTTCCCGGGGAAAACACTCACGAGAAACACCGGCTGTTGTTCTATTTCGTATATGGCTTCGCCCTCTAAGGCTATCGCTATTGGGTAATCCCCCTGCGCCCCCGCGCAGCACTGAAACACTTGTAGTCCACGCCCACCCAAAAGGTGGGCCCCACCCTCGGGCTCCCTTCCGGTATAAATAGGAAGGAGGCCCGACAATCTGCTCCCATACAAAATAACTTTTCTTCAGCTATTATTGGAGCCAGTGGGGCCCAGCGCTTAGAGGGCTACGCCGATACTCATAAAGCTGGAGTTATAGTAGGTAACTTCAGTTCTATTTCGTATATGGCTTCGCCCTCTAAGGCTATCGCTATTAAAAAGTAGAGACGAAGGTCATACTTTGCCCAGTGACAAAAAGAGGGCGAACAGCAGCTCTCTGCGTGCAGACAGGCAGGAGAGCGCACGGCTGGATCCCTGACATCACTCACTCTGGCAAGACACTCCGTACCAAACATGTGTCAGAAGAAAAAAAGGAAACATCCCTCTCATAAGAGGGAAAAAGGACCGCTCTCCGCGTGCCGAGAGGCAGGAGAGAGGCGCACAGCTGGATCCCTGACGTCACTCACTCTGACAAGACACTCCGTACAGGGTGTGTCAGAGAGGAATGAGAGATATCCCTCAAATAAAATTGAATAAATGAACAGGGGGAAGACCAAGATGCAGCAGTGCAAATGTCTTCCACTGACGTTCCTCCGTGCAAAGCCGTGGAGGAGGCAAATTCCTCTGGTGGAGTGCGCATTGATGTTCTCCGGGGGCTCCACCCCATGAGGAGACATATGCCTGTCAGGCATATGTCTCCTCATGGGGTGGAGCCCCCGGAGAACATCAATGCGCACTCCACCAGAGGAATTTGCCTCCTCCACGGCTTTGCACGGAGGAACGTNTAAGACGTATGAACCAACACACAGTTGCACGGGGTTTAGAATAGTTTCCCCCTACTTTCGTGAAAGACATCGGGGTACTGCTTTGCCCGGTCTTTAGCAGAAATGTTCGTCGGTAAATGAGATGGATCAGATTTTTTCATCTTAGTGTTTNGGGGCTCCACCCCATGAGGAGACATATGCCTGTGACACAGCTTCACACAGCCAGTGTGACAGCAGTTGTGCAGACAGAGGCTGTCCGATCAAGCGCTCTCTATACATTACATTACATTACATTGCATTTAGCTGACGCTTTTATCCAAAGTGACTTACAATAAGTACATTCGACCAGGAAGTCACAACCTTGAAGAAAACAGAATCATTTAAGTACATCAATTATGTACTCATGGATGCCAGACACAGGCTTTGTCAATCCACGTCCTCAGAACTTGGCAGAGTGAGGACGCTGGCGTGTTTGTCGCCGCTTCACTTCGTAGCCAAAATTGTGTTTCTTTTGTATTCTAACAACCACAAAATCCACTGCAAATAGTCTGCTAAAGCTATCATAACTGTCTGGATCTACTTACTGTGTATCTATTACACTCAAACATTCTCCGACGATCAGCTGTCACTGCTAGCTGACGATCGGCTGTCACTGCTAGCCGCCGTTCAGCCGCTAGCTCCTACCAG